CCCACTGTCCTGGTGGTCCAGCGAGTCACCCCGGTGGGGGCAATGGAACTTGACTGTCTTAGGAACTTAGGCAGCTCAGACACACCCGGGGTGGGGGGTGGGAGGACTCAGGGAGCCCCAGCCCTGCATGATGCAGGAACCCCCTAATTTGTGGGTCCTTTGCAAGATTGCAGGCCCAGGGTACCCCAGGCCCCTAGTGGAAGGTGGCCTTGGCCTCTCCGTTTGCCTGGGTTGGGCCTAGCTCTACGTTCCTCAGCGGGCAGCTCTTGCCCCCTCCTCCCCCCACAGTGACCAACCAGCAGGGGACAATATTGGGTGAGTTTGCTGCAGTGTTGCCAGGAGAGGCTGCTGGAAGTTTCCATGTAGACCTGCACCCCACAGAGCTCCCACTGCCCCCCTTGCTCCACAGTGCCTTACATTGTTGTAGGTTCTGCAAAGACCAAGGAAAGTGCAGACAACCCTGGGAGGCAGGCAAGGGTGGGGTGCTGTGCCCTCAGCACCCATCAGAAGGCCGAGAGCGCGCTGGACAGAGGGCTGGGGGAGGGGCTCCGAGTGAGAACACCCAGCGGCTTCACTGAGCACCGCGCGCACCTGTGTGAATGCTTTATGTGGCTTTGTGGTCCTTCAGTCCTCTGGGCGACAGCAAGTGCAGGATCCTCCCCGCCTTACAGGCGAGGAAACAGGCAGAGAGAGGGCGAGTGACTTGCCCAAGGTCAGGCCATTAAGAGGCAGGGCACAAGCCCAGGTGGCGGGTCCAGAGGCCGGCAGGGCTCTTGCTCTTGGGTCTCAGCACCAGCCAGGGTGTTCTTCTCCCAGGAAAAGGGTCGAGCCTGGGGCCGAGAGGGGCTCTGAGAAGGTCCCCCCCTCTGTCGCACTGCTACCCTCTCTAAGGGTCATGGTGCCCGGGGGAACTGCCCAGCTTTTCCTGACCAGAACAGGGGGCGTGTGGGGTCAGCTTGGCCCCGTCACACCCAGGGGACAGAGAGGGCTCCAGCCAGGCTCTCAGCAGAGACCGGTTGGGCCAGGCCATCCTGTTGGCTGAAGCAGGCTGGGCCCTCAGGGCCATGGAGCCTTCCAGAAAACTGATGACCACGGTGACAGTGGCTAGCAGCCTTGGAGGCACTGATGCCAGCCTGGACTCACCCTGATAAACACTGGGTCAGCTGGTGGGTGCTCCCACTACCCCTAACAGAGGAGGAGAGTGGGGTGCTAGGACCCCAGTGCTGAGTTAAGTAGACCACGAGGAGTCTGCCTCCCAGTCCAGTGGGGGGAGTGAGTGGGGGGGGCGAGGAGAAGATCCGGGGAGATGGGTAGGATGAAGCCAGGTATTTATTACAGTGTCACCCATTGCAGTGGGAGCAGAGCCAAGGGGCCACTGTGGGAGTATGTGTGAGGGAGTAACCAGGGTGAGCTGCCTGAAGGAGGCAGCAGGTAAGTTGAGACCTGAAAAGAAGGAAGTCAGAAAGGGCAGGAGGAAAGGGTTCCCACAGGTCCTTGGCTCCAGGTGACAGAGTGGATGCGTCAAAGCATGCCTCTGTTGAGTTTCAAGTAAACAGGTGGGGGCCTGGGGGATGTGGGGCCCCCACCCCACTTGTCAGCCCTGGCTGATGGCAGCATGGAGGCACAACTGCCCCTTAACCCCTTGTCCCCACTGTTCCCCGCTCCTCCCACACAGTGCTGGCCGAGGCTGGGGTGGGCAGCAGGGCCCTGTCATGTTGGGGAGCTGGGGAATGGGGAGAGGAGGCCACTGCTCTCTGTTACCCAGCCCTCTGCGCCACGCCAGCCTGCCTGGCCTCCCGGCTGGGGGCAGGGTGTGGGGACAAAGCATTCTGTGTCTGGAATGTCCTCAAGTGGTGGCCATGGTGGCGGTTGGTGGACTGTCCCTCTCCTTATCAAACTCCTCCTAGTTACTGAAGGCTTGGCAGGTGAGGCCGCCCTGTCTCCAGGAGGGGCACCAGAAAGGGGTGGGGCCATGGCTCGGCTAATTTCTCTTTGGTCCCCAGCTGCCTGGCCACCCTTAGGGGCTGTGGACTAGCTGTCCCCGAGCCCACACCAGTCTTCAGGGTCCTGGGCTCGCCTGCCACTAGCCAAGGGGAGTTGTCTGTGGGTGTGTTGGTGTGTGTGTGATGTGTGTGTGTGTGTGTTTGTGTGTGTACGTGTTTGTGTATGTGTAAACATGGCTAGCCCTGGCCCTCTGGGGTTACACGTGAGTCCCAGCGAGGGTGTCTGTGAGCTCACATGGGTGCAGGCAGGAGTGACGGGGTGTCCAGAAGGTGGGGAGCCCCAGCCCACGCTCCCACTCCCCCCGCAGGATGGACCCCTTCGAGGACACGCTGCAGCGGCTGCGGGAGGCCTTCAGCTCGGGGCGGACGCGGCCTGCGGAGTTCCGGGCCGCCCAGCTCAGGGGCCTGGGCCGCTTCCTGCAGGACAACAAGCAGCTTCTGCAAGAGGCGCTGGCGCAGGACCTGCACAAGGTG